GTCACATGTGGTTGCCGCAAGCCCGCCGGACGCTCCTTCGTCGAATCCACCGCCTCTGCTCACTCTAGCCCTCAGGCCGTTCCTCACGCTAGCCCCCGGATTCTGCTCACTATAGGCCGCCGCTGCTCACTCAAGGCTGCCGTGTGTGACGCTGTGTTACGCTGTGAAAGCGAAACTACTTTGTTTGGCCTTCCAAAAATGGACACGACTATTCTTAATGTTCTTTTTAGCAGCATCATATGACCCCTTTAAACAAGACTGTGGAGGGCAAACCATATGAAAACTGTTAAACCACATGTATGTATGTGGACACTTAAATCACACAAATGTCTTGATGTAATTGCATTATATAAAATATCACACGTTTTCTCAAAATTATAGTAACTTAACTCTTCTAACTTGACTCTCCCAAAGTAATTTTAATGGACGAATGAGAGGTTATTGGTGGTCAGATCCTCTCAAATTCGCGACAATGCAACGACATTCATTTGCTCGTGCGACTTAAATGTGCAGATACTTTTAAGGCCACTGCATAATAATGCAGAATCTAGTTTAAATATTTAAAAGTTCCGATGTAACATTAGCATTGTCTTAAATGGAGACAGTTACAAAATGAATAAATGTCCCGTTACAAAACATGCCACTTCATACAAAAGGAAAAATTAAATAATTGAAAAGTATCAAAAATGTTGAAAAATATTTAGTCTAAATAATTTAGGCTAAATGTTTTTAGCGGTATCAAAATGTTGAAAAATCACATACCGTTTGTCCCGGAGTCCCAATGACCATCTGTATGTAATATCCCCTACCAGAGTCTCCTTTTAAATTATTGATCATGTCCAGAAAGTTGACGATCCCAGCTGGATCCGAAGCCAGGGAAAGTCCACTCTCCGCTGCGCTTTCAATCTTTCGCAAAGGCCTGAGGTCCAGCTGCACAGACGCGTTGAACTTCCCCGCAAACATTTTTAAAGGTATTTTAAACACTGAATGGGACGTCCAGAAGGAAAGAGAAAGTAGCAGAAGCCCGTAGAGCCACATCTCGCCAAACTTCACGTTGACCAGACAGACAACACTCAGCTTTGCCTCAAAGTGCACAACTCTGTCACTGATAGTTTCATTCTCATTATTAGGTATGGGAATAATATTCGGCAGAGAGTATGTGAACCAGACAGATGCCGCAGGGATATAAAGTAGCCTATGTGTGTAATGTTCAGTTGATAACTTCCTGAAAGACCATATGACGGATATGACGAGCATATCCAAACATTCCAGCGTTTAACTAGGGCCAGAGCCACGGGAGAGGGAAAGACTACTGTTGTGTCTCAAAGGCTTGTGTGCTGCGGCTGCTAGACAGCAGTTTGGGGCGGCTATAGGCGGAGAACGCTACCGGAACGCGACGGTGACGCTTAAAATGCCGTCTACTCTATCTCCAGGTGTGCACTGTTTCCCTTGAAATCATACATAAAGTCCATAATTAATAGTTACGTTGGTACACAGTAAAATCCCGAGTGTTAAATTAACACTGCTCGGAGCATATATGGTCCCACTCTAAAAGAGTGTTAAAGTAACACTGAAGCAGTGTTAAAGTTAATGAGATAATTATGTGATTAATTAAGTGCTGATTGAGCATTAGTGATGAACAGCTGCTGTTAACAAGCAGAATCACTGAAGAAAAGAGAAACACAAGAACTACAACTGACTTCAGCCACAGCCTTAGATGAGATCAACTGGAATAAAAGAAGACATTAAATCTATCAAGATCTCAGCAGAAGATGATTGAACAATTCTACAAACAGCATCACCAGCTTCATGCATTACTAACCAGTTAGACTATCTAAAACAGAGGTTCTTTCTTGAGAATTAATGGTTAGGTTTTTTTTTTTTTAAATTACCGTTTTTGTGAATAGTGGTTGCTTTAGTTGCCTCTTGACCCTTGACTTTTTAAATGTAAGTTTCTCTTTGGCTGGCACAATTGTGTTTATAAAGCACATATGTGATGGCAGAGAGCTTATGAGGAATTCAACTCATGTGTCTGAGTCTCTGATTGCATTTGATTTAAATCTGTAGTGCTTTTATGATTTCTATGTTATTGCAGTTCTATGATATGAGATGACAATGTGAGAAAATGTTACAAACCACATTTACAAATATGGTTCATAGAGAAGTTTTAATTCTGGTACTCAAAGACATGAAGAATCAGCATGTAAATCTCAGCAATGGTGGCAAAATATTCTGATAATTTTGATGTGATTTTTGAACGTCACAAACAAAGGCTGTAAAAAGTCACAACAAAAAATAACAAAAATAAAAGCAAATAGTATGAGCATTAGTGATGAACAGCTGCTGTTAACAAGCAGAATCACTGAAGAAAAGAGAAACACAAGAACTACAACTGACTTCAGCCACAGCCTTAGATGAGATCAACTGGAATAAAAGAAGACATTAAATCTATCAAGATCTCAGCAGAAGATGATTGAACAATTCTACAAACAGCATCACCAGCTTCATGCATTACTAACCAGTTAGACTATCTAAAACAGAGGTTCTTTCTTGAGAATTAATGGTTAGGTTTTTTTTTTTTTAAATTACCGTTTTTGTGAATAGTGGTTGCTTTAGTTGCCTCTTGACCCTTGACTTTTTAAATGTAAGTTTCTCTTTGTCTGGCCCAGTTGTGTGTATTAAATACATACGTGATGGCAAGGAACTTATGATAAAATCGTGTCATGTGTCTGAGTCGCTGATTGAAATTTATCTTAAACTGTAGTGCTTTTATGCTTTCTATATTGTTGCAGTTATATGAGATAACAATGTGAGAAAAAATGTTTTTTTTGTGTGTCTTAAACGACTTTTATAAATATGGTTCATAAAGAGGTTTAAATTCTGGCACTCATAGACATGAAGAATCAGCATGTGAATCTCAGCGATGGTGACAAAATATTCAGATAATTTTTGTGTGATTTTTGAACGTGACAAAACAAGGCAGTAAAAAGTCACAACTAAAAATAACAAAAATAAAAGCAAATAGTAAAAATAAAAGAAAATACTAAGACAATGCAGCTGCATAATTTATTCATGATGCAATGCATGCTGGGAGCCATGGATGGTGCTATTATGATTGTTATTGCACCCAGATTGGTTGCAATAAGTTATGAGTTATGATTGGTGCACCCAGAATGCAATGCAACATGAATCTGTCTCATGATCATCACCATTGTTGAGATTCATATGCTGATTCTTGATGTCTGTGTGTCTTAACAGTACAGATGTTCTAAATTGGTGTGCAAAGGGTTTTTAAAGCTCTTCCTATTATTTTATTAAAATACAGTTGTGATCAATAAACTATATTACACATTACCACTGGTGACATCAGTGAACTTGGCTACTACATGACCAGTATAATCAGAAAACATGTTCTCTTGGTTTTTCTGGCTATAACGAACATGTTTCATAAACACAATTACAGCAACCAGAGAAAAACTAATGTTAAAAAGTCAAGGGTCAAGAGCCCAACTAATGCCGAGTTCACACTGCACAACAGTGATTTCAAATTGTATTATTTTCAATAAACATTAACGTCTAAATCTCTGTTAATTCTTAAGAAATTTTTAGACGCATGACAAACAAAAATTCAAACTGGTGAGTAATGTGCGAAGCTGGTGATGCTGTTTGTGGAGATGATTAATCATCTTCTGCTGAGATCTTGAGAGATTTAATGTCTTCTTTTATTTCAGTTGATTTCATCTAAAGCCCGGGATACACTGCATGATTTTAGCAATCCTATAAGATCATTACTTTATCACACTGTGCAACATGGATCATTTAAACTTGGGTATGAGTACGACAAGCATGTAGACTGTACGATGATGACACCTATTGAATCGTAGGCTGCGACGGCTGTGACACACGTTAGCGCAATGTCATCAGCATGTGCTAGTGGTAAACAAATACCGGTACATCAAGATGGATCGCGCTTTGGCAGTTGTGCTTTTCATGTGCGCTGAAACAAAGAAGAGGCGCCGGTGGAAGAGGGCAATATGAACCCGCTCATGGCTCGGGAAAAGAGGACAACTTGGGATGCCAGTTTTGCACAGGGAGCTTGGCAGCTGCAGTTCCTCCGCTATCTCCTTCCATGCTATGTCCTTTTTGGTGCGGTCATGATAGCAGCTAGAGGACACAACGTACAAACATGCCCTCTGCTGCCACAACTCAACAAGAATTTGTTCTTTATGGATATCCCACATACCAGTATACCTTCTACTTTTTTTTGCCTCCATGGCATTGAAATTTTAGCGCTGCTGGTCGCGTGGAACAGTACGTCATTTCATGTTGCAATTTCATTGGCTGCTGAGTAGACGCAGGTCGTTGCAGCAAACACACTGTG